ATANAAAATATTATTAAGGTTTGATGATTGTTTAGTGATGTTAGAATATTTTAATAAGTATTTTTATGAATATTAAAGTGTTAGATAATTATTAAAAGGGTAAAAGTTTCAGAACCATGAACAGTTTTATAGAAAATTGACGGAAGATGTACAAGAACAAAAAATTTTCACGTTACATCTCTTAAATAGAAGAATAAAGTAAAGCATCTCAAATTTTTAATATGGAAATTAACGAAAAAACATAGATAAAGGTAAAAAATACAAGTTAAGATCTGTGTCAGTTTTCACTTGTAAGGATTAATTCATTATAACAAAGCCATAAAATGATATTATTTCGTCAAATTAAATAAAAAAAGCAATAAAAATTTTAAAAATTAAAGTAAATTTTGAAAATAAATTCTGTAAGCTTAATTCTAAATGATTTTTATGTTGAAAGAACTGGATCCGTATTAATAAAAGAGTTGAACTTGAATGTTAAGATTACATTGTAGATACTTGAAATTAAATGAAGGAATTAATGAAAGAAATCTTAAACATAATAAGAGACAAACAATAAAATCATATTATTATTTTCATAAACTCTTCTTTTTTATAAATAAAAAATAAAATAAAAAGTGACGAATCACATTTTATTCTAGATAAAAACATATGCTTCATATACTGTTATGAAAAGATAATTTATATTTAGTATTAATAAAAATTGTGTAGGGCCTATATTTTAAAATTCTCAATTAAATCTAAATTTATTTTTAAGTTTGTAAGCTTTACTGATATGACTTTTAATGTTTAAAAGAACAGAATCTACATTAACAAATGAGTTGATCGTTAATGATAAGATACATAGAGTTTCGTTATTAAGTAATTACAATGTTTAAAGTTTCATAAATATGATAATTATTTGAAGCTTTTTACAGGTCAATAACTGCTTCAAAACATTACGATAAGCAACGTGTATAAAATAAAATATTCAGTTTAATTTTCTAATAAGCTAAATGGATAACACTACGAAAAAATATCTCAAGTGATAAATTATGAATAAAAAACTACATTCAAATAACTAATTTACTCATAATTTAGCTGCTTATATTACAACAGAATTAACAATATGTGATTATTTCCACCCTAGTGATATTCATAATTAATTCACCTGTTAATCCTGCCCGAAAAAGAATCAAATTTATAGATGAAAACACTAGATTTTTTTATGTTCTTCATTAAAAATTCAAATTAAATTCTTATTTTAAGTGCTTTTTTTTTCATGTTCAATATGTTAGGATAGGTTATAAATTCGGTTTATATATGAAATTTAATGGTTTATTTCTAAATAAAAAAAGTTTGTTTCGTCTTCTTAGAAATGTTTAACAATAATTTTCTTCGGAGACAGTCTTGATTATTGCCTCATTATATAATTCAGCTCGTTTATAGACCCACTAATTGTTTAATTCTTTCTTTTCGTAAATTTTTAGTTAAATTTAAGAAAATTAACGAATTTTGAATATACTTTTAAATACGAAAACATTCATTTCATATTTAGACTACTGAATAGTTCTATATTTTAAATTTATCGAATTGTAGAAATGAATTAAGCGCCAGTGTTCTACTTTATCACGTGGTTAAAAAATTCACGTGATCTTTTCGAATTGTTTTGAATTTTCGCAAATAAATCAATATTTAGCGAAAAACTAATAGACCTATATATAATATAGTAAAACATTTTTAAGACGACCATTTTCCAAAGCCTAAAACACTTGTCATCTCAAAGGGCGCTCTTGTCAAAGAGAGTGTATAATTGATTGCAAGGCCAAATAAAAAAATTTGACTAGAAGATAATGAAATTTTATTTGACTCTCCAAAATCTGAACTTTCCAGAATTCCCTTTATCTCGCCCTCTTGCAGACTTTTACACCAATATCAAATATGTAGTGGATACAGAATATTGTATATAATACTATATACAATAGTAATAGAGGAGAGGAGGGTATTATGGAATACCATTTACATTTCTAAAAATAACTTTACTGGTTTTTGAATAAAAATTCCAAAATCATCATGAGTACATACTATAACTAATTGTAATGAATTGTCACTTGTAAAAATAATACTATTTATTTTGTTGTTATAAAAAAAATGTATTTGAAAAATTCATAAATGGAGGGTAATATGGAATAGTCGGGTAATATGAAATAGATGGTTTAAACCATTGAAAAACTAATTAGACTTCATAAAACATAGTTATTCTTAACTATAAAAACCGCATTTTTAAGATTATGTGCATGTCATTCCTGCTTCGAGTCTATTTACAAAAGTCACAGATATAATTTTCTTTCTCTGCTCCGGTACAATCAAGGTGAGCCCACAGAGAACAGCTGAAGCATTGAATCCAAATTTTTGCTCGATCATCTTCGGAGAATTTTCCGTTACAGATGATACATTCAGCGTCTTTGTTTTCTGGTTGTTTAGTTGATGGCATGAAGCCCATTACAGATGATACGTCAGAATGTAACGATTCATCGCCGCAAACACTAGTCATCTCTAGTAGGTTTAGGTCTAGAAGGTCCGTCTAAGTTAATTTCTTAACAGGTGTCTTTGAATGTTCGGTTTCTTTTATTGTTTTGAAGCTTCTGGTTCTTCATTTTTGTCCTTTTCTTTCAGTTTATCCATTTATCCTAGTATTTCATAATACCCGACACGCCATCTTGGAAAATGAACCTTTAAACTGATGAACAAAACATTGTTAGCTAAAAAACGATTACAGTATAACAAACTACAATTCTTTTAGTGTACATTATGCTTAAAGTCAATGTTCAAGTCACGTGTGTACTAGTAGGTTAAAATGTTTGAAAACTTGCCTGCAAAAACTCTTGAAAATCACAAAACACACTTTGTTCTGTAGCGACTGGTACGACGACAACAAGCGGTCAACTCTCACTGCACTGCATCGTGGGAGTCTTTCTTGAGTAGTTCATGGTATTCCCACGTAATAGCAGCAACAAACAGAGCCGAAACCTTGGTATTCCATAATACCCTCCTCTCCTCTATATAGAACTATGTATTTTGTGAAGTTGACGACTAGAGGAAGGAGCGAGTCAGCTTGATTTGAAGTCGATTTGATCTCAAATCAAGATGAACGAGGTATAAGGACAATATGTGGTGGTAGTGGACTTACTGAAGCAAAGCATTTTTACAAGAGAAACCTGTTTATTCGGAAATAAATGGTGGCTTACAAAGTCTTTTAGAGAGATGCTCCTTCTTGGGCAATGATCTTAAGAGTTCAATATTGAATCGTCGATAGTGAACCCTCGATGAATAGTCGGCAGCCCCGGGGCAATGCTTGGATAATTCTGAAAGCAAAACGACTATGGTCGGTCGGAAAATAGATAACGAAAAAGGCGGCAGAGAGAGGATAGGGAAGACACCGCGGCGTCTCGGAGACAAAGATGTCGTAAACGCACAGATAAAAGGATAACGAGCCATCTCGCAAAATTGTGAAAAGGAAATCCGCCGTTTGTCCTTAAAATTCGGGGTTTTTAACGGATTTTATTCCCGAATTTCATGCTTTGATTTTTCCTATTTCTTCTCATCGCTTCCCGATTGGTTATATATATCAATATTTAGAAACTTATTATTATAACTTACATATTTGTAAATTTATATAACCTGAAGATATTAAGCAAAAAATTATGCATATTTTCTACGATAAGACCGTTAGGATAAAGTAGAGACGTCGAAGTTGGAAAAATTAAGCCGAATTTTTACACCTAACGCAACAATGCAATATGTCCAACATTAGTCTATACAATTGTAGATTGGTCATGGTTTGCAATTTAACATCCCATCGAAGATGATGAAACTGGCCGCTTCAAAGAGTGTATTTTACACAGAGGAATTATGAATTCAAATAGTCATTTCTCGAGTAAAGGAGTAGTCGGCGTAAGGAAGATTAAAGACAATTACTCCTATAAAACAAAAATTTTGTTCTAAGAAAAATCTGGTTATCTAAAAGAGTGGTCATATAGAGAGGTTTCACTGTATTTTCGTATTTAATTATTATTATTGCATGGATTTTATTATTCTTAATTTAATGTATTTAATAACAGTAAAACAGAATCGATTTTTTAAAAATCATCTCACTATCGTCAATGTGCCAGTCTGATAATCCGGGAACGAATCCGGATCGAAAAATTCCAGGAAGTTTTTGGGAGGTATCCCAGATATGTCAGGCCATGTCTCTCAGCACAACTCGGTCGCCCTATTGTGTCCTGGCCGGTGGATAATAGGCTTGATTAAAAAAGACCATTTTGTGTGCACAAGGTGAAAAAAGTAAATAATATTTAAAGTCATCCAAAATGTCAATTTTACATTATAATTATTTAAATGCATTTTAATTTTATAAGTAAATTATAATGCAAGATAATGGTTTCAACCCTTTTATTTTTTAAGTCGGTACTCAAACAGGTTTTTATATGTGTGATTTAATAGATACCCAATAAATTTATTTAAAGTTTAAATAAATCATTGGGTATCAGAAAAATCTGAGTATTTGCGATATCTGTAGAAGTTTTCTGCAACAATGTGAGATGTCCTGAAAACCAGATTAAAAATTCACTAACCACTGTTCTAAGATATAAGATCATTTAATGCTTTCCGTGGATTATAATGATTATTAAGGTAACATTCTAGAAAAAATAACCAATAGCTTTCTTTTTCGATCGATTTCTCTCTGCATCCAGTTTTGCCTCTTCTGTGTATTCTAAATAGATCAGCACAGTCAATGATGCCATTGCCATTACAATCAGTTCCATAAGAATACATGTAACCTTTTATTGTTTGATCTGCACATGTCTTATTCTGAGTACATTTTCGATAAGCTAAAAAAATTGAATTAATAATTTCAAATATTTTGAAATAAAAAATAATTTTTTTAAGAATATATAACATAAAATTAGCAAATGAATATATNTTTTAATTTTATAAGTAAATTATAATGCAAGATAATGGTTTCAACCCTTTTATTTTTTAAGTCGGTACTCAAACAGGTTTTTATATGTGTGATTTAATAGATACCCAATAAATTTATTTAAAGTTTAAATAAATCATTGGGTATCAGAAAAATCTGAGTATTTGCGATATCTGTAGAAGTTTTCTGCAACAATGTGAGATGTCCTGAAAACCAGATTAAAAATTCACTAACCACTGTTCTAAGATATAAGATCATTTAATGCTTTCCGTGGATTATAATGATTATTAAGGTAACATTCTAGAAAAAATAACCAATAGCTTTCTTTTTCGATCGATTTCTCTCTGCATCCAGTTTTGCCTCTTCTGTGTATTCTAAATAGATCAGCACAGTCAATGATGCCATTGCCATTACAATCAGTTCCATAAGAATACATGTAACCTTTTATTGTTTGATCTGCACATGTCTTATTCTGAGTACATTTTCGATAAGCTAAAAAAATTGAATTAATAATTTCAAATATTTTGAAATAAAAAATAATTTTTTTAAGAATATATAACATAAAATTAGCAAATGAATATATTTTTGTGAGTTTGTGAATTAAAGAAATAGATTTTATTAAAGAATTGATCTTTCAAATAATATATTTTACACAAAAATAAATATTTAAAATTTATTCATTTTGTCAGAACAGTGCACATTTTTCCGTCATGTTGATTTTATAATGGAAAAAATATATAATGATATCAAACTGACGTAATAAAGTATGTCTATATAATTCACTTTAGGAGTGACAAATTTATGTATTTTATATAAAGTGCTATAGTTCATTTACTCGTATTTCTAAAGATAATGTGTAATATGTGGCTTGATTGATAAATAGTCTCAACTTTTATAAAATTAGTTTAGAAAGTGGTAGAATAATTTAGCCAGTTTCAGAAACCAGTAGTAAAAATTATTATTTTAATCACAAATATTCATTTTTTTCATCAAAGTTATAATTTATAGTAACATACCTTTCCAAAAACCCAATCCAAACAGCAAATTTAACTTTGACATCCGACGAAAAGCATTAATCTTTCAACACAAAATGAACAGATATAGACTGTAAGAAAGATGCGGAATAACCTGTCCTTCCTTCCCAGTTATCTTACTGCTAAGTATTAATCCTTATTCCTCACACAAGTCAGATTTGTCACCATCACATTTTTGGCCGTTCTCAAAATTAAAATTAGTGTTGGAATCAAATGTCAAAGTGCAAATTGCTGTTGGAAATGGTTTAAAGAAAAATTAGAAGGTTTCTCCATGCAAAAAATAAATTGCATTAGAAATTGAATACTGTATACCGGTATAAATTATGATTAAAATAGGATTTAAATAATATTTATTACTTTTTATTTTCCCAGCTGTTATATACAACAAAGGGAAAGAATGACAATCAGTTCAAAAATAATACAGCGATGCTCCATTCAATCTGTTCATGTGTGCGAATACTAAAACCATCTAGAGATAGAAATTAGACCAGTATTTATTCCATATGAAGAAAGTTTTACATTTTTTTGAACTCAGATACAGTGAGACGTCGAGGAATGAAAAAAAAAAAAAACTTAGGGCGTTTTTCTATACCTATAGATATAAGTGTGTGTTTAGAGGGACTATTTTGATCACCAACTTTGAGACTTAATAATTCCTTTAATTTTTCTCAAAAATTTCTGAAATTTTGCAGGGAGATTTGAGTATTAGAGGTAAAGGTGCTATTAAATTTTGGTGGTTAAAGATTGAGGGGTGGGAAGATATATGGCGGTCGTATGCCATATTTAGAATAGAGTGGGACTTAAATGATTTTACTCGTTATTAGCATTTACGCATTACCATACGCAATTTTAAATGATTTTGCCAGGAGAGTTACTCAACTTGTTATTAAAACTGTTCATGCTATTTTAGCCCGTCTCGAATTAATTTTATAAAAACAAAGTACTGTACTTATTTATCAATCAATCTTCGTGTAAAGTAGCCTATATGAAAACATTTCAATATAGATTTATTATAATGACAACTAAAATTACTATAGTAATAAATCAGTATTGGAATGGAATTTTTAATACGAAACATCAGTTTACTGTAAGATATAAGCTATTCTCAATTCTGTCTATTACAGATGGGTTTAACGTTTAAATAGGGTAGAGACTACCCATAATAGGATCAGAGATGGAAAACGATGCTCTTGGCTCAAAATTATTATGAAGGTGATGACAATATTTAATAACAATACATGAGTATCAGCAATCATTTTAGAATTTTTTCTTAATCTGCTCTTTCATGAAGGATGAGATCTTGAAGGATAATTGACTTATCACATTTGAAGAACTTTTAATATTATACATGTCAATTTTTATCTTATTCTAATATTACTGTANAAGAAGTATGCGACGTATATCAATCAATAGAATAACCGTTAGAGTTTCATCTCCCGTCACATTCAAACATCTCGTCGTCAACTGTCTCTTCTAGGAAGTGCCATAAATGAAAATGGCAACTTCAAAATAAACAAAGTGTCCTGTATTCTGCAGTTCAGTCAGAATCTCTCATCATTTTGAACAGGAGTAACCTGCAGGAGCTGTAGAATGGTGGCTGTTGTGGAAGAAGTGATAATAGGTACATTGTATTAAGTGTAAGAGGAAATTGAGTATTAGATGTGTGCCATGTGACACAAGATGCAGGCATTGAGAATTGTAATGAGCAAACGTGAAACTTTGACAGTTTACCAATGTTTTAATATAATGAGTTACAATGTTTTCAAATAATAATTAATGTAATTACAATAGTTTAAAATGATAGTATTCTTTTCAGAAGACCCTGTATTTTATATCGAACCATATAGAAAAAAGCTGTTGCTTTTACTTAAGAAATCTGATACATCATTCTACTAAAATTACCAAAATTCAAATTGAAAATACATGGTTATTAATGAAATTTCTGATTTAATTTTTAATCAGAATGAAAAAATTACCATAAAATTATCCAAGGGAATTTCTTCTTCCACTTCCTTAACCATGGATTTTAAAGATCCACTCAGAGCAGCAATGTACTAGAATATTAAAATAATTATTAACGGAAAGAAACATTATAATTACATTCGTCATCATTTTCGTACACGAATCCGGGTTGTCCAGCTTCTATCCAATATATTTTACTGATATAATAAGGTCCACAGTATGTAATATCATTATCAACAGTGCAGTCGAGTTTCATATTACAATCAGATATGGCCTAGAAAAATCCATAAATCAACATTTTAGGTCATTATAAAAAATGTTTATAATAAACCAATTGGCAGCAGATAGAATAGAAAGCTACGTAAGAAGCTATATAATTCTAGTATTATGAATATTATGTAATTAACGAACGGGATTATAATTGTCAGAACCATTTTAGTCTCATTCATAAAATCTCTTATGTCATTCGTAACTCGTAAGTTACATGAATGTAGGACAAACTTCTCCATTAAGTATTTTCAACTTTTAAATCACCTTCTTAATATGATGACTAATACTTTTGCTATTAGATTTTGTTCAATATAAACTAAAAGAATTCCCTTAATAATAAAAAAAATTATAACATAGATTGCGATAGAGTACTCGATAAAAAATTTATCAATACCAAATTGAAAGAAAACAGCATCAGTTTATAACTTTTATGCCTTTAGCGTTACCTATTGAAACTGATTGTAAGTGATAAAGAAAAGAATCGAAAATACAAAAAAATAACGGTTCAGCCAATAATTCAAGAATTGGAAATACAAAACAGCGATAAGTTAGAAATCAAATTATTGGAATTTATAGATTCAAAGACTATGCGTGAAATTAAATATGTAACAGAAGCAGAAAATCCTGTTTCTGTTTTACTTTCTCTGGCTGTTATGTAAAAACATATATAACAAAGGTAAATATTGGAAGCGTGTCAAATTTTGACCGTCCGAGATTTTTGCAAATCTCCACGTTTTAAGATCCCTGAATCCAAAAAAGCAAAGAAAAGAAGAAAAAAAAAAAAATTCCTGGATGTGTATCGGTGTGTGTTGGTGTCTATTTTGTTTAATATCTCAGGTTGAAGTAAAGATTAAAAAACGATATTTGGCATGGTAACTTGTGTATAAGAGGAATTGATGATATTAAATTTTGGTGGTTAAAAGTTGAGGAAGTGGAAAGATAGAGGAGTGTCATGTCCCATAACTCAAGAGGGGGTCGAACTTCATGAAGATTTTACTTATTATTAGCATTTACAATTTTTATAAAACTCGTAGCTATTCTAAAAAGTAAACTTTTTGTCATAACATAATTAATAATCTAAAATATTCTTTTATAACAAAATCTCATAACACATAGCGTCACACACAATTTTATTTATTATTATGATTAATAATAAATAAACTAATAAAATCTCGTAACAGCCAGGAAAGTTACGCAAATCGTTGCTGTATTTTTAGAATTTAGAATAATTAAAAGTTATAGGTGTAAGTTGGCTTAACGGAACTCACAAGACAGGATGGACCAGATAAAAAATTTCGATTTTAGCTATTTTTTCTAGATTGTTGGCAGCCCAAAAATTTTTTCATAGAGCCTAAAAATCGTCACTGTCACTTATTCAATATAAGATAGAAACTTGCAATCATTAATTATATAATTTCAATATTTGAATCAATCTTATATTACTAACGGCATTCTAATTTACTTACTCTGTAATTAACTGGCCAGTAATTAGACTAAACTGTTGTCTTATTTAAAAATTCTATCGCTTACAAACTTTGCAAAATTTGTTCAAAATGAAATCCTTTTTGTTTCAAATACAACACTTCGACACATTCACAAATTGCAAACTTTCTTGCAAAGTAAAACATGGTTAATTGACTTTTGATCCATCCTGTACATCATATATATTGAATAATATCTAGTACTAATTTTACTTATTATAATACAAGGAAATAAAATTGTTTTGTAGGGAAGTAAAAGGTTAGATGATTGCAAAATACTGCATCCGTTTTCATTAGATTTATGCGTTATCTTCCTTCACAAGATACTGTATCTTACGAAAGAATGACATTATTTAAGCGGGAATAAAATATTTGCTTTATTGGAAGTTTTTACAAAGTAGTTAAACGAATAAATTTCAATTATATATTATTTTTTCNGATTAAAATTCATGAAAGATGAACTGTTCTATTGATTAACCTATTCCATTGTTTGATTATCCTATTGATGATGATGTTTTATTCAATAAGACTTTAAATGCTTCTCAATTGATATTATACGAGAGTTTTACATTGCAACCAGCAAAAATTTTACAAGAACTGTGTGATTTTTTTTTACAAGAACGAGTAAGATTTTCTTAAATGAATGATAAAAAATTCATTTTTATTATCTTATCATCTTGATAAAGTTGCAAACCATATTATAAATAAATATATATATATATACATATATATTTAAGATAAAATATATCTTTTATTATATCAATTCTTAAATACCTGGCATATACAGTCTAAACATATTTGTTCAATCTCCAATTCATCTACAGCAGCAGTAAAAATTACTGTAATATTTTAAAATGAGATATAATTTTAAATATAATATATTCTTATTTTTAGACGTTTTACTACATTTTACAACTTACCAATTTTTAAGAATAAAATAAATAGTAGTTGAGTTGTGCCAGACATTTTCTGTAGTGGAGTTATTTTCGCAATACTTCCAGAAAATGTTACTAGTTACATGTTAAATCACTTTTATCGCTTTGAATGGGATCTAAAAATGTGTAATGACGATAAATGTAAACAATAAAATCCTCATAAACTTGTTATCTTTTATTATTATTGTTATCAAAATACGGTTTATAGATACCGTTTTAACTCTTTTAATTAAGACTGCTTTATATAATTATTGGGTAAATTGTGTTTAAAACAAAATAAATTTAATTTGAATTAAATTATTTTAATGTTTTATGTGTATGTATTTATTTATTAAGTTTATTTGTATATAATAAAAAAATGTATGTTGTGGGATGTGGCTTTCTTTTTATACAAGTTTCTAATAATATAAAAAAATATCAAATCTCTTTAAGGTGTTGATGTTCATGTTTTATGTTCAAGTATTCATATTTAATATGTGTTGAAATGCCAAATTTTATATTTGTTCGTTCAATAAATAGATATAATAATCTTATAACATTATTTATAAAGTATCAGGCCACGATAGTGCCAACAAGGACAATTTGGATCAAGTTTTGGAGGGGTCCAAAATTTTTTAATAGAAAAAACATAGTATAGACGTGACTAATCTGTTTTTATTTTAGTAATTTTATTTATACATTTTTATGACTTTCAGAGACTGTACAAATTTCATCCTTCTTCTCTCAGTGCCTTACAGCATGATTAATTTTGATCTTTATCAATGTCCAGATAATTAGTCAAGATGTAAAAGTATTAAACTTGCGTAAAATGGAAACTAAAACCAAAATTAATAAATATTAATTTCCTTTTTAAGCATTAAATATAAAGATTTATATTTATTTAATTATTACAGAGTATTTCATGGGTATGCGACATGTGCATTAACATGTTTCCAGCGTTTCGAGGTTTTCAGCAATTGATCTTTTGTATTATTTAAGGCGGCGTTATAAAAACAATGTTTTTATTTTTATAACAAAGTTACTAATCAGTGTAAACACAACTAATCACACTGCGATAAGCTTTCATAATCTTCATATATAAAGATTACGAAAGCTCATCGATAATTCTTAAAAATAGATATCGTTCCACGAAATCCTCAACTAATTTTTGTTCAAACAGAGAACGAATAACACCTTCCAGCTCTGTACTTACATGTGTGTGCAATAGTATATATAATCTATAGTTTTACTTATTATTAGCCGACAGTAAGCATGTGTAATTAATAAAGATTGTTCCATTCATAATTTAACAGTACTATGAAAAAATATGAAACTTTATAATTAAACTGTAATTAGGAGCGAACCTAGTGTGACCAAGCTTTTTAATGAATTACTTTTGTGCTTTCACTATTTAGCTACTCAGTATACAAATCAAAATTTTTAAATTAGAATTTTTAATTAGGTGAAAAATTATTAAAAGAATAATTAAAAGTTTTAAACAAGACATTTTATTTATATATAAATAACTTTTCCAATTATAAGTCGAAAATATCAATTATATCTATTTACCAACATCAAATAATCATCGATAAAGAACCACTTCAAATTCAAGTGTTTATCCCAATAGATAACAATAACAAATTTTTCCCAGCGTTATGTTTAGAAGAATTACACTAAACAAAGTTGTTTGAAAGAAAATAGTTAGTTTATTTAATAAATAATAACGCTGTATATTATTTTTGTGCGAACTTTTTCAAAATTTCGATTCTAATTAGAAGAACTCATTAACTTTAATATAATAATTAGAGAAATATTTTCCGAAGTATTAAATCTCACGACAGTTCTGTAAAGCATATGCGACATTTCAAATATTTTGTAACGCATCCAAAAAAAGAAAAAAGAAATAAATTATGAAGCGTGCATAATCAGTGAAAATGATAAATGGAAGATGTAAATATTTTACATGATATTTTCAGAGAACAATGTGTTTTATTCAGTTCTGAAGAAATAATAATAATAATGTGGTAAAAATTGTTTTCGTTTAGAGGCAGCAAAAGATAACATCAATTTTTTCGTATGGCTAATAAATTTTAGAATTTTATAACCATTATTAAAGTTTACTTTCTTAGGAAACCTAGTTAAGTTGCCTAGCTGCAAAACGTACCACGTCCATAATTGAGTTTAGGGTTGTTTTGGAATTTCTATCACACAGTATCAGAATCTGAAGTTTCCATTTTATTGATCATACCAGAGAATAATGTCCGTACAGGCATTGGTAAATATCAATTTAACCCATCTCTCCAGCTTCCGTAGTTTTCTTACGAGAAATTTTCTGCCTTTTTTTCAAAATGTCAAAAAAACCCACATGGTATGTTTTGCAAACAAGTTCCATATATATCTCTAACAAGTCCTTTCACAACCAGCATATTAACAAATTTTAGTAACCACCTTGCTCGATGAGAAATATTTATTTATATCATCACAAACATTTTCATCCTAAATTCCAAAGGTCATCATCACGTATAATATTGTATCCGAACTTTTTTAAAATGGAACATTTTACGATGAAACGTTTGAACATATAACTTAAACATATAATTTTAAATACTAAAAGATAAATAAGTAACAAAAAACTAAATAAAAAATAATAATACTGACAACTATTAACATAAAAATAATAAATAAACGAGTAATTATTTATTGTGACATCGTCACAATGCCGGACTGCAACTTTTAATCATATTTTTAATTTATTTAATTTAATATACACGCTTTCTTCCTCAAATTAGTAGTCTTGCCCATGTACATCATACTTTTCCTACTAGCAATAAAGTCGTGCCGGTCATCTAACTCCGTTCTCGAGATTAAGAAATGACAGACAGACAGTAGACGGATGACAATGGTAATTTATACGTTTACAATTTTTTAAAATTGCAGCCCAATAAAAGATATGTATTGTATAAGCCTACAGAAGGGTGGATGCAAACTATGTGTTTTTATATCGTAATTTCTTTTTCATGTAGAATTTCCACGCCTAAGGTAACCCTCCTCATCCCTAGCATTAATGCAGCCATCTAATGCTTTTATAAATTTCAACTTTTTTTTTTCGCTGATTGCCAATGTGGAGGAATGTAGTGAACTATTGATATCAGTCTCGTTCCATTTGACTATAGAGCCTTCTAGTTGTGTCATCCTAGACAATACCGTGTTACAATACTCTTTTTCAAAGCTATATTTATGCTTTTTGAAGCGAACGGCTAGGTTCCTTTTTGTGACACCAATATAATCTTTTTTATTTTCTATTGTTTATTCTCAAATAGTATTTTGTATATACTTGCCTTTTCTTTTTTCTTAGTTTATCTTTCTTAATTTATCTTAGTTTCTTAAAGTACTGTATAGGCCTATGTTCGGAGCTCTTTTGAAAATTATTTTTTGTCTTCTGCTTGTTTGATAAAATTCCTAATATGCTTATTATAATGGTGATGCTACTTTTGTTTCATTTCACCTTCATACCTTTTAATTAACCCTTTTATTGTGCTCGCTGTATATCCAAATGTTGTAGCTGTTTTCTTGATTCTGTTGAGTTCTTTGAGTCTGCCAACAGTACTAAAGCAATATAAACATGCTCTTCTAATAAGTTCTCGAAAAGTGGACAACTTGTATCTGTACGGGTTCGAACCAGCCAGAATGTACAGTGGGCTGTGTGTGTTTAATGCAGACAACCGTGATGATGCTACCTCTCTTGAACTCAATGTCTGCGACAAAAAATGAATTCTTATGAGACTTCTTTGCTCTAGTCTTAGGTTCAATCATCTTTGTCGTTACTGTTAACCATATCCACAAAGCGATGAATTTTTTTCTTGTTTTTCCAATTTATGCAAACATCGTCTACATATTTTGTAAAATATGGTATCTGTTATGAACGCACTAAGAATACATTACTTAAAAAACAAACTCAAACAATAACCCATCTGACACTCGCTTTCCACAAATCCAACCCCTGGGTCCTCGTCCCGGGAAATGGAAATGCCAATTTTAAAGATTAAAACGCTTTTTATAAATTGGCGGCCGTAGGGGCTCTGGTAATCATACCTTGCGTGGATTAAATTGAACTTCACACATTAGCTTCAATAATCGTTTTGTGATGAATTTTTCTGTTAAATCTCTGGAAATTTACTATGGTAAGAAATTATCTGCGCTCGTATTTCAGTATTGCTAACGCTTACCTAAGATCATTAATTAAAGAGCTTGGTGCTCATCGTATATTTCATCACACTTGCAATATGGCAGCTGGTGATTTTTTGTTTTGTATTGTTTATGAAGACCACGAAGAGAGGACCGTTTTAATCTTACCCATGCTTGGTTTCTGAAGATCCACAATTTGGGTTTCCGGGCTGTCTTGACACATCAGGTACAGATTCTTGAACAGTTCAAATTCGATATCAGAGAGGTAGACTGAAGTCCTAACCGCTCAAACATCCGGCTGTCACCTTCTTATATAGGTGTTGAAAGTATAACAAGTAGTGACACTTGCACTTAAAGTTTCTTATTGTACACTAGACACTTGCACACAACACATGGGCGATCTGCCAAGAGGACTTTTATAGGAAACTGACTCCTATGTAGATGTTAGACACGAAGAAAACCTGGGAAACTGAGCCTGGATATTTTTTTTAACTCTCTCCACTCTGTGGGCAGTAAGAGGGTCTCTTTTAGCAGGCCCACAATGGGGTCAACCGAGTAGTGAAAGATGGGGGCCGACATATTTAGTCGACCCCCGAAAATTTTCTGGGAATTTTTTTACCGTCCGGATTCGATCTCGGGTTCCCCAGAGCGGTAGGCTGCCACCCTGACCACTCCGCTATCCGGCCGTCAGAGTTGGATAAAATTCCCGAATACCGGTAATTAGTAGAGGGTTTGCATCTCATCAACGGAATATCCCGGTGGAATTTGACTGCAGGATAGCGGAGCGGTCCGCTTAGTACTCACAGAGCATAGTTTTTGAAAAGTGGTTTTATTAGTTGAAAATAGAAGTATTGAATATACTGGTGCCTCAAAAGGATAAGACTACAGGTTTCCCGATATCTGGAAAGTTCAATCTGTATGGTGTATGATAAATTATATTAAATTATTTTGCTTGTTTTC